AGCTGTGTGCGAGTCCCACCTTCAGACCTGGTGGGCAGCACAGGCTCTGCTTCTGAGCCGGTCTTCCTTCCTTGCCCTGGGTTCCTGCTGTGCCTCCTTTGAAGGCAGCATCCCCTGCCCCCCAGCAGTTGTTGCCTCCCCACAAAAGTGCTTTAAACTCCTCGGCTCACACCCTACCCTGCTGCTGGAAGGGCTTTGGTGGAGAGAGGTCTGAGCTCTCTTAGGTTTTGATTTCAGTACAGGAGTTGATAAAACGAGATAAACCCCAGGCTCACAGGGCCGGGGAAACTAAACAGAGATGATATCAAAGTTCCCCTGAGTTTTCAACTGTGATTCAGTAGCTTAGTTTTCTCCCAGACTGCGGCGGGGAGGCACGCCTTTGATTCTGAAACAATGTTCAGCATCAGTTAAGCCCAGCACTGCTGACTTTTAGGGATTAAGCACACTGTCGTAGTAATTCTTTGATCAGCTACAAGGGAGCTGTGTGCTGTCTGTGTGAAGGGACTTTATAGTTAAAGTTCATTTCTCTGTGAACCTGGGGTGACAGCTTTGGTGAGGTGCTGCCATGCCCGGGGGCTGGGACCTCCCCCGGGCACTGTTTGCCGCACACACAGGAAGCTCTTACCCAGTGTTGTTGGAGGGAACTCATTGAGCACAGCTGGAAAAAATCCTGCTGGCCTGGAAAACACACCTCACCCTAACTGGCCCCATCCAGTCCCTCAGTCCCAGGAAGTACCACACACACACACACACACACACACTCTCTCTCTCTCATTCTCACACACACACACACTCACACACACACACACACACACACTCTCTCTCTCTCTCATTCTCTCACTCTTCATCCCAGTTCCTCAGTCCCAGGATGTACAACACACACACATACTCTCATCCTCTCGCTCGCTGTCTCTCTCTTTCTCCCCCTGCCTTGTGGAGAAATCCTCTCGGGACAGACACAGGCACAGCTGCCCAGACTGAGGCTCTGTAGCCCCCAGCCTTGGCGATGGTCCGAGTGAGGCTGGCTGCACGCGCGGGGTAGACAGGGACCAGACGCCCTGTGAGGTTAAGCCAGGAGGACCAGGTCAAGGTCAGTGCTGCCAGGGTACTCTCTACTCTTCCGACCCCGCCCGAGATCAGAGGTGACTCCCAGGTGCTACTACATTGTCATTCCTTCCCCGACGTTTCCTGGAAATCCGCTCAGCTTCAGGTTGGCTCCTCCCTAGAGTTCTCAGAAATCTCAGTCTCTGTTGTCTTGTCATCTAAAACACCGGGTGAACTTTTGGCTTTTCCTACAGAGACCCTCCTTGAAGCCACAGCTGAGGCAGTAGAAGTTTCCTGCTATCCCCTGCCCCCAACTCCGTTGGCCCTGCAACTTGCAGTTGATAGTGGAGGCCCCCACCACCCGTGTGCTGTTGATTGTGCTCACACCACGCTATACATCACCCCCTTCCCGCCTCTGCAGCACGCGGGTTTCCCTCATTAGGCCTAAATTTACCTCTGTCCTACACAAACATGGCCTTAGCTCATTTTTATTGCTGTAAATTATTTATGAGGGAAATGTTGCATCTCCAAACTGAGGTGTGAGGAAAATTAATCCCATGTTACTTTTATCTCTCAATACTTTTCTCCCCCTCGCTTCATTTACTGGATTACTGCTAGAGAAGGGAGAGCTTTGGCATTTTAAAATATAATTGGTTCTGAGAGCGCTTTCTTGATCAGGTATGGGATGGGAAGTCGGGTCTCTCTCTGCCCAGTGTGTGGAAAGTAGACCAGACTGGGGAAGGTCAGAGGCCCCTGGGGCTCTACCTTCTGCCAGCCGTGGCATCTGAGAACTCCAGGCCTCTGTTTCTTTCCTCTAAAATAGGGATTAATATGCTTCAGTCCCCTTCCTAGGTGTGGTGTGAGCATCCGTTGAGAAGGAGCCGGAGAAAGCTTTTTTGGTAATTGCTAGGCACTGCTCAGATGCGGGGAGGTGTGTTGGTGCGTTCTGTGTGCAGCTAGAATTTGGAGCTGGAGGTGGATGCCGGGCTGGGCAAAGAGCTGAGGAGGACGCCCGTTGTTGCAAGCAGGCCTGGCATTTTCTGCTGCAGCCCAGTGTCAGCGTCTTGCGAGACAGGTTAATGGTGGTCTTAAACACCCCCACTCCTCTGCCCCTCTCCCCAGGCAGCTCTGCTCTGCAGCTCCCCCCGACTCACCCACCCCCATTAATGGCCTCTTCTCCCCTTCTCCGAGGCCTGGCCTGTGACCCGGGCAGCCGGAGTGCCATCCCTTCGGGCTGGAGGCTCCGCGCAGCCCGGGGAGCGCCGAGTGCTAGTTAATAAATGGCCTTTTGTGAGGAAGGTCAATTGAAGTGACGGTAGAGACGCTGTTAAGAGTAATTTGCAGTCAGAAAATATGTAATTCAGAGCAAGAAGCTCTGAGTGATTGCCTCTGCCATGGATATCTTGGGCGTTTCTCATTAAAAGCTTCCTTTGCTGGTGGTGGCGCTTTCTTCCGCCGCCCCAGCGAGGAGTCATTTGTCTGTATTTCACAAAGGCTCCTGGATCCCCCAGGGCACTGCCACTGGGGGGGTGTGTGTGTGTGGTGGGGCGGGGGGGTGGGAGGCGTGCATCTGAGATGCTCAGTGCTAATGCCCTGCCCGCCGCATCCTCCCAGCCTGCAGGCCCGCCGCCCGCTGCCCGCCGGCCGGCTCCTTTGTCTGCTCGGGAGGCCGCCCGCAGCCATCTTGGGGCCCAGTGCCCGGCTGCCCAGTGCATTGTGGGAGCAGCGGCGTCAGCACCACCACCCCCCGCCCCACCCCCGCAACTTGCACGTGCTGCAGATCAGAGGAGGCGGTTGGTACCTGGACCAGGATGCAGTGACCCGAGGACGGGGCATCTCTCAGCTAATAAAACATTTCTTATTTATTCCCATGCTCCCCCCCCACCTCAGATAGTAGAGGCAGCACTATCTTAATAATAATAATAAAAAAACTTACCTCTCACGTTCTTTATTAAATTCACAGCATGATATTTTAGCACTGGCAGAATACAGTGCCTTCTGTTAATGAGTTGTTAATTGCAAAGCATTTCGGTAACCAACAGCAGGTATACCAGTATTTTGCTAAGGGCAGCGATGTTATTTCCTTGTTAACCAAGAATACCAAGTTTTCCACGTGAAGTACTTTTTGATCAGTGGTTTGCTTTGGATTCCGCTGGTGCAGATAGTGAATTCTAAACCTTCCTGACTGGGGGATTCCCTGCGGATTCATTCAGTAAATATTCACTTAGTGCCTACTGTGTGCAGGAAGCACTGAGCCCTGTGTTTTATGCAGATAAACTCTCCTGGTAAATGAGATCTGAAAATAGAAAACGATTCAGTGATGCAGTGTGATGTCCTGCCCCCCTGCCCTTTACTTCCAGATGCTTATTTTCAGTAGAATTAAGTAAAGCTTAACTTAGTTTGACTTTTGTCATAAACAGAAGCTGAGAGTGTGGCTGCTGCCAGGCGCCTCCTAGCCTTGATCAGGGAATTAGCTCCCTGGCACTGACGAGCCTGTTTCCGGAGCCTTTCGTGGGTTCCAGGGAATGCTGATTACACAGTGACTTGCATACCGCCCTCTGGTTGTTTCTACCTAGGAGGCTGTAGTCCTTTTTAATGGCTTCAGCCTTTTCTGATTCTAGGCTGAGAACTTAAAATATTCCTACTGGCTGCCTAGTTAGACAAGAGTGTTTGGTTTGCTTTAGCAGCAGTAACCAGCCTTGAGAGATCTGACAGAACCACAGCCAGTGGAATGTAATCGCTGCAGAAGGAGGTAGAATTTAACTTGCTGTTTTCCACTGCTGGTCCTTTTAAAAAGCTCTAGAAGTTATTTACATAAGGTGTTACCATTTTATATGCTTTCTGCTACACTGCCACTTGAGCTGCCCAGACCCAGTGCTCTCTATATTCTGCTGGTCTCCTCTGGTCACATCAGGAGGCAGGCAGCAGCAGAATAATAATTTCATTTCCCTCCCTTTCTCCCAGTGTCCAACAAGAATTACAGTCATTGTTAGTGTTTAGCTTTGAGTAAGTGTCCACATGACCCTAGGATTAAACACAACAAAGGGACCCACCAGGCCTCTTGGGAACAGCAGTAACCACGTTTCTGGCCGATTACACTGGACCTTTGTGTCCGTCACCCACCCTTCTCATCTGCTTTTCGTTGAGGGCCTACTGTGTGCCAGGGGACCTCTCCAGGCCCTTCATTTCCGGGATTCCCTTAGTTCTCACAGCATCACTGCAGCTGTCAGCGTCCTGAACCTTTGCTTGCCTGCTCACCAGCTATAAGTCATGGAGCCTGGACTCCATTGCCTGCTGTGGCCTCCATGGCCAGAGCACTTTCCTCTATGTGTTCACAAAGCTCTGCCTCCCCAACAGCCCACCCGATGTAGTCATGGCTGTGGATTTGGAGGACTGTTCTTCCGCCAGGAGATGCTGTGAGGGGGAGAGATGGAAGGTATTGCTAGATTTAACCATGTCTGATTTATCCTTAGAGAAGCTGCTGGTGTCTGTGTGGAAGTCAGAAAGCAGGGCGGGAGAGTGTTCAAAACTAACTTGAGAAGAGCAGGGGCTGGAGGTGACTTGAATTCTTTTTTTTTTTTTAAATAGAATATTGGTTTATATATTTGGCTGTGCCAGGTCTTAGTTGGGGCACATGGGATCTTTGGTCTTTGTTGAAGCATGTGAACTCTTAGTTGTGGCATGCGGGATCTAGTTCCCTGACCAGGGATCAAATCCAGGCCCCCTAGCATTGGGAGCGCAGAGTTTTAGCCACTGAACCACCAGGGAAATCCCTACTTGAATTCTTAATCTGAGGAAAGGGTTGGGTAAAGCCAGGGCTCCCTTAGCTGGTCCAGGTATGTGAAGTTGAATTCAGGATATTTGCCCCAAGATTCTGGTTCTGTTTGAGACTCTGTATCGCTCACTTTAAATGCTCCATTAGAATTTTGTACTTTCTTTTTCCTTTTCGGAATCAGGAGGAAGCCACCATGCCTGAAGTCAAAGACCTTTCGGAAGCCTTGCCAGAGACGTCAATGGATCCCATCACAGGAGTCGGGGTGGTGGCTTCTCGGAACCGAGCCCCGACAGGCTACGACGTGGTGAGTCAAGATTCACTGATTTGGCAAATATTTGTTTCCAGTGTTCAAGACCCTCTGAACCTCGTGTGTAAGATGTGTTTCTGCCTTCTAGGAACTTAAACAGGGAGGGAAAGCATCACCAACAGCAAGGTGCGGGAAGTGTCCTGGCTGGGGAGCAGATGACCTGAGCTTATCTGGGCTGTTGCTCAGCCTTAGCTGAGTCACCTGACCTCTGTGATGGTCACCTTCACATCTATAAAATTAAGGGGTTGGATTAGTTGACTTCCAGAGTCATTTCTAGTTGTGACATTTCATGAAAAGAATCCAAGCATCTGAAAGACCCTTGGTTGTCATAGATTGTCTTGTATAAATGTTATAAATATGTTGACATGAGTTTATATAGCTTCTTACAGTTTACAAAGCAGTTTTTCACACCCATGAACTCAGCGGCTCTCACAATTCCCTGGAGGCTGGGAGGGCCAGTTGCCTTCCATCCACTGTGCTGATCAGGAGAACACAAGCTCCGAGAAGGGAAGTAATGGAGGCCCAGCACTTAGGAGTGGTGAATCAGGTGACTCAAGTCCGGGGCTGTGATGACCGCATCACCACAGTTTAGTAGAGAACTGGCTTTGCTTTTCAGCACACGTCTGTGGTGGTGTTCAGTAGTACCAATGGCTCGAATTAATTATAGTGTTTTTTCAGTAGATAAATTCCAACTTGGTTGGGGCTTAAAATGTGCAGAGGAACTATTGGGAGGTTTTAGCTAACAGTGACTGTTGTCATGTGTTCTGAACTTCTAAGGTGGACTTAAAATTATTTCTTTATTTTTGGTTGTGCTTGATCTTCATTTCCGTGTGAAGGCTTTCTCTAGTTGTGGTGAGCGGGGACCACTATCTAGTTGTGGTGTGAGGGTGTCTCACTATAGTGGCTTCTCTTGGAGCAGAGCTCAGGCTCTCGGGCACACGGGCTTCAGTCGTTGTGGTACATGGCTTAGTTGCTCCATGGCATGTGGGATCTTCCTGGATCAGGGCTCGAACCTGTGTCTCCTGCATTGGCAGGTGGATTCTTTACCACTGAGCCACCAGAGAAGCCCCTAAAGTGGTCTTATTTTTCACTTTCCTTATTTTGTTTGATGACAGAGGATGAGATGGTTGGATGGCATCACTGACTCAATGGACATGAGTTTGGGTGGACTCCAGGAGTTGGTGATGGACAGGGAGGCCTGGCATGCTGCGGTTCATGGGGTTGCAAGGAGTCGGACACGACTGAGCGACTGAACTGAACTGATTTTGTTTGGGATGATGTTTTATTCTTGCTCATTGAAAATGTATACCCAGAATAAATAAAAGAATGTAAGTCTCATTCGTCAGCACTGAAAACCTGGCACAGTGATAAAATCAGTGTCTGATGTGAGGTGTGAGTTTGGGGGGGGAATGCCATGCCCAGTCCAGAAGAAGCCCTAAGGCAGGGTTTCTCACCCTTGGCATTACTGACATCTTGGGCCAGATGTTCAGATAGTAGTAGCTGGCAGTGCGGGCCCATGCATGGTGGGGACAGCATCCCTGGCCTCTTGCCACTCGATGCAGATAGCCCCAACCCCCAGGGTGTGCCAGCCACGAATGTGTTCAGACTTGCACACATCCCCAGGCAGAGGGGGCAGGCGGGCAGAATCAGCCCCATGGTGAACAGTGCCTGTTGTGTCAGCCCATGCTGGCTCCCGTGTGAGGAAGGGGGAGCCTGTTACAATTCTCCACATCACTTTCTCAGCTGCTGGAAAGCTTATAAACATTTTTAAAGTGAACGAACAGGGGAATCTTTTTTTTTTTTTAACAAAGATTTGAGCCTTACCTGCTGCCTGACTTCAAAGCACTGTTTGAATGTATAACTTGCCATAAAATAGAGTCATTAGGTATGGCTTTGTGCCATAAAACTCTTGGGGGAGCTAATAAAAATGTTCCTGATTTGAGAAGCCCAAGTGTCTTTTGATGAATTAGATATGAAGCAGTGTGTCGTGAATCAGGGCAGGGGCTTGGTGCGCGCCTGTCTCCAGGAGGACCGTCTCCAGGGTGACTCTCCGGGTGGGGGGCGGAAACCCGGGTCTTCTGGCTGTTCCCTCGTGTGGATCTGTGTCTTTAACATTCTGCGGGGCCGCTTCGGGGTCACCATGAATGCCGGGTGAGTGGGCGGCAGATGGCCTTTGCTAGTCTGGTTTTCTGAAAGTCTTGGTGAGTCTGACAGGAGCAGAATCTATCCCTATCATTTTCTCCTAACGTCGAGCTCAGGGCAGAAGAGCGCGGTGTCAAATGAGTGAGATTAATAAGCACATTTCACGGTGGGGCTGCACCAGGCATCATCGTGAAAGGTGAGCAGGCCAGGAGGCTCCAGAGGGTCAGCTCGGCAATTACCCAGGCTCCGCACGCCGAGACCAAGTGTCCGAGCTCCTCCGGAAGCCCTTCTGGCGAGAGATGCGGGAGTCCTCTCTTTGTGCTGACCGCCAGACTCTCCTCAGACGAGCATCTGCTTCCTCAGAGGTCTGACCCTGAGTTCAAGGGGAATGGGGGAGGACCCCCCCCTTCCCTCTATCCACAGTTTAGTGGGAGGTTGACATCCAAACTGAAGTGCCAGGCTTTTGGCGGTGGCCGGGCTGCAGAGATGCCGAGACAGAAGTGCGATGGCGGAAGGAGGCTCTGCTGCGGACCTCGGCCGGGGCCTCTCCGGCATCTGCTGGAGGCTTAATCCCCCCGTGCGCTCAGAGCACGCTAAGTACCGTGACACGCAGACCTGAGAGTGGATGCCAGATGGACCGCTGACCCTCGGTGGCACAACCATTTTAAAATGAGCAGAGGCCCTGGTGCTGCTGGAAGTAAAAGATGCCAAGTGTTTGTTTATAAATATTGAATTTGACAACTTCTCTGCCGGTCAGGGGATGGTTCCTCAGGTAGGGGCTGGGGATCACTTGCTAAACTTCTCAGTTTACCGTTCCTGTTTCTGCAGCCGCCTCTGAAATAGCCTCCCCTCCCTGCCCGGCAGCCACAGGCTCAGATCTTGAACATTGCTGCCAAGGCCCAGGTCCGTCCTCTGGCCCGTCCGTGCCCGGCCTCTGCCCCCTCCTGGCTGCCTTCATTCTCCCTGATGGCGGCGTTTAGAACTGCCAGGTGTGGGGGCCCAGCCAAACTGAGTCTTGGCCTCCGAGAGACTTGGAGATTTTTTTGGTCTTTTTCTTCACTGTGCTTTAAGAGCTCCTTCCTTCCCTTCCTGAGAAACCCCACGTGTGAATGGGAGTCTTTGCGGCATGGTGACCCAAAAGTGACAGTTTATCACCTAGTTCAAGGACTGTTCCCAGACGCCTGGGGAGGGGGTGGCTCTCCAGCTTTGGTGGGCCTCAGTCCTCTGGAGAACCCCACACGCCGGATTCCTGCTGCAGTAGGTCTGGGGTGGGGCTGAGAGCTTGCATTCTAACCGATTGCCCGCTGATGTCAATGCTGCTGGTTCAGGGGCCAAACTTTGAGAACTGCTGGTCTAAGTTAAGTCATTCTTAAATAATATGTACCTGTGCACCCCACAAGTCTAACTCAGGAAGTGCTGTGCTAGCTTTTCCCATTAATTTCTGACGTGTCCTGATTTAGAGTTTAGGGGTTTTTTAAAAATACAAATGAGATGGTACCATTTACACTCTCATAACTTAAAAAATTTATTGTGGGCTTAGCTCAATATCAGTCTATATAGATGTATCACCTCCTCTCAATAATGGATATTTATTGTTTGGCTATTTCCTAGGTGGTGCTAGCAGTAAAGAAGCTGCCTGCCAATACAGGAGATATAAGAGGAGTGGGTTCAATCCCTGGGTTGGGAAGATTCCCCTGGAGAAGGGCATGGCAACCCACTCCAGTATTCTTGCCTGGAGAATCTCATGGACAGAAGAGCCTGGCGGGCTACAGTCCATAGTGTTGCAAAGGGTTGGACAGGACTGAAGTGACTTAGCACACATGCACACCAAAATTTGGCTAATAATTCAATATTGAAGAATATTGAATTTGTTCCCATTTTTGTTTTTAATGCAATAAACAATACCCTTGTGTCTGTATTTTAGCATGGTCATCCTATTAGTGCCATAGAATAATTTCATAGGTTGAAATTACTGGGTCATAGTGTTCACATTTTAAACTTGATAAGTGTTGCCTATTGCCTTCTAGAAATGTTGTTATATTTTGTGTTTCTGTTCTCAGGCAAGTATTGAGTAAAGTGAAATTTGGGGGCTGGGGGATGAATTGATCAAGCCCCCCTCCCTCCAGACTCTGTGTCCAGTTTCCCATCACCAGTAAATCCAGGCAGACCTCCAGGGGTGAGGGCCTGGGCAGTAAGCAGTAAGTGGTAGCCATGGATCTTCTCCCTAAGAGCATCCTCCTCTCAGACAACCAGAGAGAGGACAGATACCCAAATCCTTCAACTTGGCACACGTGTCTTCCAGTCTCACTTCCTTCTACTGTCTTCTCCTCCAACCTCATCAAACCTCTAGTTTCTCACATTTGGAATAAGGAGCAACTTTGTACCATATTTCAAAATTCTTGCGTCCCCACCTTTTTGGATAAAATTTTTCTCATCCTTCAGAACCCAGTTTGAAAACTCCTTGGTGAGGCTTTTCCTGATGTTATGAGTTTATTGCTTCTCACTTTGGCTTCATAGGTGTTTGTTGACCCCCTACTATTGTGCAGAAGCCCCGGGAATTCCAGTATCCTGGGAGGGGTTCCATCATGTGAAAGGGGAAAGGTGAGATGAGGTAGTGGGGGTGGGTAAGGTCAGGTCACACCAGAGCATTATAAGCTACACAAAGGCATTGGCCATTGTTCTGAGGGTGGTAGGAGTCATTAAAGGACTTTAAGAAAAAGGTTCTTATATTTGTGTTTTTAAAAGTTCCCTTGATGTGTGCAGAAGGAGGAGTAATTGGAGGGCATAGATATTGAGTCAGGGGCTCAGTTTGTAGGGTCTGTGTTGGTGTAGGGTGAGAGGGCAGAAACCTAACC